TAAGAAGTATGGGTTTGAAGCAGTATTAGAATCTTTTGAAGGTACCAGGTCCATCAATATTTAATGCAATGAAAATCATGCTCAATGACCCACTGGAAACGATCATGGAACATTCTGGTACTGGTTTGGAGCATGATTTTCATTACATTAAATGTTTCTAATAAAATAAAATATTTGCATGTTTCGTTTGTGGATGAGGCTGAGAACTGATACCTCTGGTAAGATAACAAAGTAAGATGCCGGTGAAGTACCACTCCAAAGGCCACTTGCCTTGCCTTGTTATATTGCCTTCAAATGGCGCCTGTATAGATGCATTCCCTAGGCATGATAAGGTTACCACACGCACAGGAAGAGAGCAGTGAGGCAAAGAAGGAATGGTGAAGTTCCTAGTCCAAAAACCACCGTAAGGGCATGGTTACATCACCATCCCAGGATGGTAATATAACTAGGATTCGAGGGTGATTTTTGGACTGGTAGCTTCACCGTTTCTTCCTTGTTTCATTACCGTACACGTGCTGTGTGTGTTCCCTTCCTCAATTTAATGGATATTTTTTTAAAAAGAGAGAGTGGTTACGAAAAGTGGAAATTATGCTTCAAATGATATCATTACATCAGAGGAAAACCAATGGCGAGAATGGAGCAGTCGGGCAGGTGTATACCAGTGACGTCATTTGCCCTAGGGCTAGAACCGCCATTATTCGGGGCTTCGCTTTCGACCCAACCTTATCTACTCTTCTAACCTGGATTTTATCTGTATAAATTCCCCCCTATTCTCTAATTTGGACGGCGGTCGTCCCCATTGTATGAGAAAGTGTTGGGAAGATCTGCGTGAGAAGGGCGAACCCGGAAACAATTGATTGTTTGCATGGGTGTGCGCGGCGTAAAAGGGGTCCTTCGCGAGGCCGCCCTTAGGAGAGGAGAAAAAGCGAGATCTCTCCTAGCTTCTTCCCCTAGTACCTACCTAGATTGATTCCTAATCCAAGAGCGGTCTCATGACCTCTCAAGAGCGAGCGTCACTGATCCGTTTTGATCTACCTGCCCTGATTGAAGTGACACCAGGCAACCTCAACATCCCTCAAACCATTGTCAAGTAATGAAGGTGGCCTCTCAAGATCAGACTCATCCAGGTTACGACCAGGAGTGGGACGATCCACGAGTACCACGTACTTGCCGTACTAAGGGACGAAATTCGAACAAGTACCAGGAAATCACCATCGATCCGTACAAGTAAACGTGCTGACAGGAAGACCAAGAAGAGGACGAAGACCAAGGCACGACCTGACCCTGAACTAAGGGCCTTAGACGGAAGATCAAGCGCTGACGAGATGCCTAATGGAAGACTACTCCCTCATGGAGCCCGATAAAACGTCGTTGCCATTCCAGAAGTGTACAATGGTAACACTGACTTCGCGCTCTGGCTTTCCCCATTCAACGATAGTGCTTCAGCTAATGGATGGTCGAATGACCAGAAACTCAAGGTATTCCCGACCATATTGATAGGTAAAGCATACCTGATGTACACTGAAACTCCTCCCGCTCCTAATCAAAGTTTTGAAGAATCTGTATAAACCTACAGAGACGCTGTCCAGTTGCAGAACAGCTTGAGAATTGAATTTCGTCTGAACCTGAAGTCTGCTGCAGAATTTGTGGACGACTAATATCAACACCTTATTCTGCTGGCTCAGCGAGATTACCCTGAAATGGCGACCCTCACCAGGGTGGGACTCGTCAAAGACCAATTCATCGAAGGACTTCCCTGGAACGCCAAGGACCGAGTCATTCAGGCGAGCCCAAAGACTACTTCAGATGCTTTGCGTATTGCTCGAGAGCAGAATGTCTGGTTGGAAAAACTTCCTCCCAGATGCCCAACGACATGAGCCTTGTTTTCGCCGTACTAGAAGAACTCTCGGCCAAAATTGAGAAGAACGCAAATTGAGGAAGAACCTGGGTGAAACTCCTGTTGATGGAACAGATGTATGAACAATTTAAAATTATTGAAAAGTAAAGAGACCAGTGAAGTGGGGTTGGTTGAAGTGGGGCGACCAGCCTGGCTGGCTGTGCTGGTATGCTGATATGGGCTTCTGACGTGTCCGGGGCTGAGAGTCTTTGCACGGGAACCCTGTTTCCTCAGAGAAGACCCATTGTCTGTTATCCTTGTTGAAAAATCGGCCACATGGCCCAATGTTGCAGATCGACCCCGAGGCGCCTATCATAAAGAACGATTGATGATATCTCGGTATCCTCCACCAACCTAATCCTATAGTTATCGGTACCTACCTTTCCTATATGCCGCCCCAATTCCTGCAGCCCCACCAGGTGTATGGACACCAGACGGGTGGCCCTATAATGGATTGTCCCAAGTGCCTCAGTCTCAACACTGGAGATATCAGCCCTATCCATACCAGTCATTGCCAGCAGCCCTACCGTCGCGTCGTCAGCCACAGCCAACGCCCATGCAATATGCCCCAGCAGCGCCCCAGGTGCAATGGGCACCTGTACCTCCTCCAAGAGTTTCAAGCACTTCTGCACCGCCATTCGTGTCGAGTGAGCTGCCACAACCCAGCATCTCGTACCCCAATGACAGCACTCAACACGCGCAGGCGTTGAACTACTACGTCGACCATCCATGTGAACGACTCCATCCCGTCAGCCCTTGCCACGGAGTCCCCTGCCGCTGTATTGATGCAAGCTCGTATTGATGATTGCCCTATCTCCACGCTTGTCGACACTGGTGCTGCCATCACCCTTGTCACCAGAGCCTGGTACGACGTCCACCAAAAGTCAGCATGGACTTTGGTCAAACCCCTCTTCTCACCAGGAGCTGTGGACGGACGTCCGATAGAGATGCATGGATACTTCAATGCAACCTTCAAAATCGGACGATCCATGCTGAATATCGCTGTATGGGTCATCCCCGCCATGAAGCACAGTGGTATCGTAGGATTGGACGCCCCCCACGCCCTGTAAGCGTGCATCCGGGTACCTGAACAAGTCTTAAGCACGCCGAGGGAAACCGTGCTGATGCACCAGGAATATGCCACCCTCTTGCAAACCCCGGTGGAAGTCCGTACTATCGTCCCAGCCAGGATGTAAATGTGTTTCTCCATACCCAACCCCAGGATTAGAATAGAAGAATATCTCCTAGAACCTCATCCAAACCTGCTCCACAAGACCCTTTGACCTGGCTTTAGAAATTACGCCATCCCACAGGCCGGCTCGCCCGATGGATTCTGCTGCTCTCCGAGTATCATTACTCAATAAACGTATGTTCGTGGCAAGATGAATAAGGCATATGCCTTCTCAAGACTCCCCGTTGGTCCCACGGAAAAAGAAAATCCCAACGAGGAAAGAGTCGTGAACTGCCTCATTGTCATGTCTATGCAGGATCCCATCGCTATGGAACCAGAACTACTCGAACGCCTTCCAAAACCAGTGCTACTTCCGCCCCCCTTTTCGGGGTTTGAGGTTTACCGATCGCGGATCACCAAGGATCAGAAAACTGCCTATTTTCATCATAAGGACGGGACCGTAAGGATCGTCCTCACCCCTAGCCAAGCTAGCAATATCACTCATGAAATTCATGAACATCCGGCTGCCTGTGGTCATCTCGGGATTCGGAAGACACTCCAAATTTCAGCAAGTGTAAATCACGCCGAAAGCCTACGAACTCACAGCCTCCATGTGCAAGGCGTGCATCTCCTGCCAAGGCATCAAGCGGGATCAACAGCCCATTCACCTGGTGATCCAACCTATGCAAATACAACGCCACCTTGACCTTGTAACGTTGGACATCTCCGGTCACTATCCTAAGAGCACTAAGTGTAATAAATACATATTGGTGACAGCTGACGCGTTCACTAAATATGTCACCCTACACGTTATGCGGATCAACCAGCCTAATGCGTGGCCAAGTCCCTGGTGCAGGAGTTCATTCCCTATTACGGCCTTCCCAATCAGCTACACTCCGACCAAGGACGACAATTCAAGTCCCAATTGATCGCTTCCCTGTGCGCTCAATGAAATATCCGAACAGTCGAACAAGTAGTTATCATCCTAGTGGCAATGGTCAAAATGAGAAATTTCATCTGACCATTAACCAAATGTTAGCCGCATTTGTTCAACAGGATCAGAGAGACTGGGACAAATACCTCCTCTTCATTCAACTGGCCTACAATTCCGAGTTCACAAGACCATTGCACACATCCCCTTCTACCTCATGCACGGCTATCACCCAACCCTGCTCTATATTGCTCAGCATGGTCTCCCTCCAACGATGGTCCCAGATATCCCAGCCTTTGTGCAAGACACCATGGAGAGGCTAGCACAGGCATACCAGGTTGCCTTCGACAAAACCACCCAGGCCGGACAAAGGATGAGCAAAAATCAGGACTCCGTCTGAGTCCCCACCTTCACAAATGGCCAAAAAGTCTGGCTGCACACAACATCAGTAAGTCTTTCCCTTAATCACAAGCTTCAAGCATGATGGCGGGGACCTTACGTCATCCTTCGATCCACCGGCCCTGCAAACTATGAGATCGCATCCTTCGCGGCTCTCAATAAAAAGGAGATTTGGGGCTCCCGACGTCACAAATGTGAAAGTCAGCCAGACTGGGCCCCGGCTCCAAGGGCTTAAATCACCCCACTTCCACCCCGAAACTTCGCTGTTTCGCCCTTGACGAGCCGACCATAAACACCTTAATTGGACCAGGCCTCTGGAAGCTCGGGGACCCCGCACCACTCTCCCATACCCAATGGAGGATCAAAGAAGAATCCGTCTCAGCGGGACCTCCCCAATCATCGCCTAAGCGAGATGCCGAAAGGGATTCCGACTATAGAAGCTGGGGATGTCAACGGTCAACCTCACTCATCCAAAGAGCATCACTTAGACTAGAACACCTCATCAGGCAGGACCACCACAGCAACAAGAACATCTTCCCACAACCCACTCCTGTGTTCGGCTTCCTCTCCTCCTCAAGAGCCAGTCATGGAACGGGAAAGCGCCTCGCAATATCGAGATCCTCGCGGACGATATCGAGCACTCTTCCTGCATGAGATCATGAACAATACAGTTTCATCACCGTTCTTGATCCACTTCTCCATGGGTAATGACCCCCTCCAGCTTTGACCCACAACAATACCTGTGAAACCCTTAAGATGAAAGCCCGGTCCAGAGTGGTAGAGACTACCTCCGCCTCACCCCTTTTACTACCTGAGAAATGACAACCTGCAACATAATCAAGATTTGTACTGGCAAGTCTCTCTCTCTCTGGTCACGTTCAGATCACGGCCCCGACGCAACAAGACCGGATTCGGCAACAAGATCGCAATCAACTGACTTCGATGCCGAAAACAGGAACGCCACCCTGGACCCCGACTCCAGAACCCCAGAATCCACCGGCCTTCCGGACAATTGGAGCTCCCAAGAAACCATGACATGGGTCCGTCCCAAGAGGCTACGAAGGACCAGAGCGAACTCAAAACCCAGCCTCAGCCGTATCGTGTACCAGATAAAAAACAACTCCCAAGATGCCCCAAGACGGCAGAACCACCTCACCCTGTCCCCATCACCGGTGCCACATCACGCTCTCCGTTTTATGAACCAGCGTCCCTGGTGAGTTCACCGACGGAACCACTGGCCAACCAAGAATGGAGTGATAACATCCCCAAAGTGTATGTGACAGATCCCTCTCCCGAACCTGAGCGTTCGCATCCGCGGAAAATGAAACGAGTGAACATCTCACTATGAAAGGACCGAACCATCACATGACCTTACAAGAAACCATCCCTCAAGACCTCGGACTGCGAGGACGCAGTCTAACAAAAGGGAAGGCTGTGTCACGGCTTTGCCAAGAGAAGCGCGGTTCTTCCGGTGGCCACTAGGTGGCGCCTTCAGGGACGCCACAGGTGTAAGGTCAACATGATGACTTCCCTATTAATTCTCCTTTTATCTGTATCAAGTCCCCCCTCTTCTGTAATTTGGACTGCGGTCGTCCCCATTGTATGAGGAAGTGTTAGGAGATCCGGGAAGCTCCGCGCAAGAAGGGCGAACCTGAAGTGATTGTATGGCTGTGCGCGGCGAGTAGGGGGTCCTTCGCGAGGCCGCCCGTAGGAGACCACAACGCCTGTCTCCGCCTAGGACACGTCCCGCTCAGGCGGCAGTCCACAATAATTACTATAGTCTTCAAGTCCGATAAGGACCTTTCCGACCCCGCTTCCTTTCGCCCTATCAGCCTTCTCAGCTGTCTCCAAAAACTCTTAGAAAGGATTCTTACCTCTCGCCTCAATGATTATTAAAAACTAATAATCTACTCTCTCCCTCTCCGACAGGTTTTCATAAGAATCTCTGTACAACTGGCCAGCTCGTTCGTTTCCACCACGATGCGTTGGTGGCTGTTCACATCATCTATTGGCCCTTTTCTTTGACGTGACTAAAGCTTTCAATAAAGTCCGGCATGCAGGGCTAATCAATAAACTTTTCTTTCACTTAAAAATTTCCCTGCATCTACTCTTATGGGCAGCCTCCTATTTGACCGAGAGATCATTCAGGGTAAGGGTTGGGAACTCTTTTTCCGAGACCCGCTCCCCCACCGCGGGGGATCTGCAGGGCTCAGTAATAGCACTCCATCTTTTCATTCTCTACGTAAACGACCTTTCTAGCACTATCCCTCATAAATTTAACGTTCGTACAAGCCAATACGCGGACGATACCGCCCTGTGGCTCTCGGGCAGAGATGTCACTGCTCTGGAGTCGAGAGCCCAAGCGGCGCTTGACGCTCTCTCTTGCTACTGTTGCAACTGGCGCATGAGTATGAATCCCTCCAAATCCTCCCTCTTGTTTGCACGCGACAGGAAACCTCACTCTGTAAACGTCCGTTTGGACGGTGTGCTCATCCTACGCTCGCGGTTCACCCGTATTCTTGGTGTTAATTTCGACAATAAACTTAGATGAAATGAACACCCTATCGTAATCCGTACTAAATCAATCAGAAAACTTACCTGCTTGAAGATTTTGGTAGAGGTTAACAAATGTGAGCTTCATGTAATTTTGAAGTTATACATTACGTACCTCTGCCCGGTCTAAGCGTACGCGTTCGCTGCTTGGGCAAACTGCCCAGAGAGTCCTCGACCAACTAGAAGGCAATGAACGAGCTGCTATAAGATGCGCCTTCCGCCTTCCCACTCATTTTTCTAACTCCTACATACACAGAATCAGCGGACTCACCCCTCTCTCTCAGCACACCTCTCAACTAGCTTGTAATTATTATAACGACCCTAAAAGGCCAGGGGTTATGAAATAAATTTCTGTGAGATTAAATAAGAAATTTACCATTTGGCGCTTTAAACACACTAAGATCTATCACTATAATAACGCCTCGGAAATGCTAGTGATACCACTGACGACTCTTCCCCCTCCTCCACCTGAACCCCCAATTGATCCCTTCCCTTCTTCCTTTTTCTAACGCCCCTTAGCAACATCTCCCAACGACAGTGCTTTTTTCTGCTGCGTGAGCTCCACCTACACTCTCCCTTTCTCAGCATCTAATATCTAATATATATAGACGATCGTGACTGACTGACTGACTGACTGACTGACTGACGCTAATTCTACCTATGTTCTAGACATGATGAGAGGATGAAACTTGGTACACAAATAGCTGTTAGATCGCTGACTCCAGAAAAATTCCAATTTTGGGGGTAAGTGCCCTGGGGGCTCATTCCAGGGGGTCTCACTTTGTAAGCCTAGGTCCAACCCTCAGACAGATGCTTAGGCCTAAACCATTCTCTGGCACACCTTGCCTTCAGCAAAACGGAAGGAACGTGCATAGCTGATAGACTTTCTCTGGAGTCAACAGTCTAACATTGAATGCCCAACTTTGGGGGTCCATGC